AGTAAACGATTCGAAGAGGGTGCGCCGCTGTGAGAGTGTAGGCCCTTCAAGGCTGTTAGGACCAGTCAGGCGGCATGCAAAGCGTCAAAAATTTCAAAGCACACGATATACTCACTAAGCTATGGACCGGATTAAGTGAAAGTGCGTTTTTAGTTTTTGTCTCAGACGTCAGAATTTTTTAAAAGGACTTTCAAAGATATGTTTAATCCAAAAAATTATTTAAAAAAATCTGGAATATGCAATAATATGGGTACCAAATGAAGGAGTAAATTCTGCAAATCTTTTGGTTTGCAAGGACGAATAGGTATTTTGAAAATGTCCTTTTACCTAATTTTATTTTTTTTAGCTTATAAATTTGGAGGGGCGAAATTCTAAGATGTGGTCGTATATATATTAGTTCTTAGTACACAATTTTTTCAAAAATACTTATTGCAAATTTACAAGGATATTCAGGGATAAAATTTTAAAAGGCGTTTTCCAGTATGATATATTTTGGAATGAATTTCCGTTATCCCTTGTCAAATTTGGTTTGATTCAGTACCTATTCTACAGTATTTTCTTTTTTATATAATACCCACATTTTGCTTATATAATACCCACATTTTTATTTTACATAAAACAGAGTTTTTTTTTATTTTTTTTTTTAATAAATCAAATTGTTGAAATTTCCTAATCCTTAAAACAAACATCCTGATGTTATAGAGAAAAACTAAAAACAAAGTTTGCCTATTTTCGGCCCCTAGTTTCGCGAATATATTATTTTTTCCTGTCACACGTTGTTACAGTTGAGAAAATTGTTATCACAAGCTAATGAGATTTGTAGAACTGTTTCAATTGAACTAACACATCAATGTCAGATTGAATGAACATGCATTTAGTTCTATGTTTCTTTCTAGTTTTTTTCTGATAGTGTTTTCAATGGTTTCTGATAGTTTTAGAATCTGTTCGCGACGTACGTGTACAACTTCCGCGACCCACCGGTTGGGAACCGAGATGGCCTAGACACAAATCTCAGTCAAAGCATGGGTACTTCTGACGACAGCCTTAATGGTACGTGCTGCATTTATAGTGGTTGTCAAGGTTTGGAAATATCAGAATCTGAGACTTTCTTTGTCCTTTGTATAATGGACGGACTAGTATCATTCGTATAAGCATGTTAACTTAAAGCGGGTCGAAATTTTATTGTATGTATATTCATTTAGTTTTATTTTTTTTTATTTCGCACAATTAACGTTGGCACATAATAACTATTACTCAATTAATTACACCATGGACTACAACAATTTGTGATTTAATGGTAATTACTAATCACCAACATCTTCTCATTATAATCGCTTTTATTTTTCTTACTTGATTTCCATTACATTTATGAGCCAAGCCACTGCCGTAAAAGCATCCATTACTATTCAAACTCGTACATGCCATTCATAATTCAATGCTTGCACACATATCGATTTATGTAAATTTATTTGCATTTTCATTTTATTAACACATTTGTTGGATGAACAAGTTTGCTGTTTTATTTTTAGTTTCGCTTCATTCATTCATTGTAATTGCTTAGCAAAATGCTCGGGGGAAGCTACATATGTACATATGTATGTATGTACTTGCATTCAAATCTATGTAGATGTAGATATATGTATGTATGTAAATAAATGACATTTGCCCATGCTAATAAACTGCATTACATTTATTAAGCACAAATCACAGTTCCGTCACCTCCTAATCGTATGGACTTATGTAATTTGGTGTTGGAAATCCCATAAATTCAATGCTACTAATAAAAAATACTATTAATAAAATTCATGCAGGGGGTCGTACATTTAGTTATGTATTTTCGCACACCCACTTGATTGTTTGATTGTATAAATTTATGTATGTAGCACCAAACTGCGCATTAGGGTGGTCCAACAGTAAAGTCGGCATTGTAATGCTCTCCCCCCTAGGATTGTTCTATATCGAAAAAAGTGTACCCCTATTTTTTTTTATTTTGAATTAAAAAAATATTTAGAGATGGCTCAAAGCTTTCCATGTATTTTTATATGGCAAAAAAACAATTTTCCGTAGAAATTGTATAGAATTCCTTAAAATCAATATTTTTTGATCGGAAAACCCTGGAGGAGGCTTTTAATAATAATACCAAATTGTTTATTTAACCATTTTTTAATACTAGCGATTTTTTATTTTTCCGGGTTTTTGTGGGTTTTTTTGCGGACATATAAATTTTAGTTGCGATGAAAAAATGGTTAACTAAACAGTATTACTACGAGGACAGATAAACAGAGTTTTCAGATAGATAAATGTTGATTTTTAAGAATTCTATACCATTTCTAAGAAAAAAAAAACCCCCCCCCCCCCCCCATATAAAATACATGGAAGACTTTGGGCGCCTTGAGCGACCTTTAAATATTTTTTGATTTCAAAAAAAAATATTTTTCGGTATAGAATAACCCTAGGGGGTGAGGGCATACAAATTCCGACTTTACTTTTGCGCTTGCATTTTTGAACCACCCTACTGTATTTACAACTAGCAAATATTTGAGTTGCTTCGCGGCGCCGGATTAGAAATTTTGCGTCTACCAGTGCCAATTGCAACGACTGAAGAAATTAAAGTCCTTATAAGAAACCTGAAGAGCAGAGATGTGCTTTCTCATTTACTTCCTGTGCTACCAATAGCGGGTTCCGTTCCGAGTTGAACACAACATGGCCAAGCCCGAGGAAGGGCTGTAGTCCAATTCGCCGCACTATGTCTATATCGTTGTAAAGCTCAGACGACTCTTCGTTTAATCGCGCCTTCGCCAACGCGCATGGGCTAGAAGCTTTCGCTGAATCTTTTTCTTGAAAATTCTAAGAGCCGCTTTATCAAATATTTTTTCACTGTCCATGGCTCCGCGACATACCTCAGCGCGGACATGATGAGTGACTTATAGCATGTGGTTTTGTACGCCAAGAGAGGACTTTATTTCTCAGTTGCCTACTCAGTCCAAAATAGCATTTACTCAAGGCGCTGCGAAGCCTGCGGGGTATTTGCTAGTTGAAGATATTTCCAAATCGAAGATTTCTCAAATACTTGGGTTTGAAACCCATATTGTAATACATATTTAGCTTATCTTATCCATTTACCAGAATACTCGTATTATAATATTTAATTTAATTTATCAGTTTAAATAAGTAAAAGTTTTAAACAGGTGGCAATACCTCCCAAAAATATTTTCTTAAACCTCTTCGATTTGATACCCATATTGCAATATTTAATTTATCTTATCAGTTAAATAAAAAATTTAAAACAAGTGGCAACCTTTTAAAAAAAAATATTTTCGGCTGTAAGCCTTCTTAAACCTCTTCCCTTTGACATCCACACTGCAATATTTATTTTATCTTATCAATTCACTTAAACCAAATTTTCACACGGCTGGCAAATCTCGAATTTTTTCTATATTTTAAGGTTTACCTCTCGAAATGCGTCGGTGGAAACTTAATTTTATTTCAGTCATCCCTTGTCAAATTTGGTTTGGAGACAAACCGGTTTCGGCGTTGTGCCATCTTCAGTGTCATTGTCAGGCACAACGCCGAAACCGGTTTGTCTCCAAACCAAATTTGACAAGGGATGACGGAAATTCGTTCCATAATTCATACACCCACCCTGTCGGAAACAACAACAACCAAAAAAGAAAAATTAATTTTATTTCATTCATTAGTTTTTTTTTTTTGTGATGCGTGGTCAGACGTAAGTACTGACAAACAGACCGGCAGACAAAAATTCTAAACATTGTTTGTTTGGCTCCGGTTGCTTCAATAAAGATCCCACATACTATAGATTTTCCTGTAATATATAAAATGTACAGACATCGGCCTTTTGCAATTTTATGTTACGTATGTATAGGTATTAAAATTTTGTGAATAATTTTAAATAAGCTAATGGGCAACATCAATGTGTATAGTTAGAATCAAGGAAAACTAAATCTTGTTTTACTTGGGCTGCTACAAGCAATCGTTTATGAACAAAGTTTCTTACAATGTAGAAATAATTAAATAAAGTAGTAGAATTTTTATATAATATTAAAATAAAGAATTATATAAAAAATAAAAAAAAAAAATCAGTTTTAGTGTTTTCTTTTTACGCTTCACTTGTAGTTCCTCTGTATTGCCAACCAATGCTTTTATTTATTTGCATTTCCATTTATTAATAAAAATGTCAAGATGGCTGGGTGCGTTAAGCAGGTAAGCTAGTAAAATGTGTTTAGCTACACAGATCGAAAAGTTACAATAAAAAAGTCTGCTGATGGGTTGGCCAACTGACTGAATGCGCCCTCCCCCCCTCATTCGTATACAAAATATACACACACATACGAATGAACATGCTTACGAGCAATTCCTTATATTTCTTTTTTCTATAAACTTAACTAAACTTGTTCTTAACAACTGATTAAATAAAAAAAAAAAAAAAAACTCTTCAGCTAATTCTAAACGTGCTTTGTTAGGCGACGCAACGCTGAGCTGCTTAGATTTTTGATTCCAGCACAGTAGACTGTTTAGACAAAGTGTCTTTCATTTAGAAATTCATTTTGATTTAGCCGCTCGATAAAGACGCATTTCACATTTCACATTTCGCTTAGCGGCGCCCGTACAAAATTTCACACACACACATACACACAGGCAAAAACATATTTCTTCAAAAACTGCTGTTGGTGTTGAAGAAATAGAATTTTATAAAAATTCAGATGGATCTCGGCGAAAATAAAGTGCAAGTGATCAGCGAAATCGTTTTCTAATTTAGATATTTACTTTTTTCTTCAAACGCGGTGTATATATTTGAAAATTGTTTTATGTGCCATTCGAATTTTTATTAAATTTTTGCGAATGCCTGAAAGTCGCCAGCTGCTCATACCCACCACTTAACGGCAATTAAGAGGTCTAATTTCAGCGCCCATATCTATTAAATAAAAATCAAACAAAAGCACTTAATAGCTATTTTACGCTTAGCATTCGCAATTAGAAAAATGTCAACAAAAAGTAATTTTCGTGTTTGTGTGCCCAAATGGCAATGGCAGCAGCGGGTGTCAATCGCCCAACTCTCACTCTCACTGGCAGTGCTGCTGCTGCTGCTGCTGCTACAACAACTGCCTATGGGCGACAGCAGCTACCAGTATTCCTGGTGTGATTCGAGTTTATGCGAGAAAGGTGTGCGGCATTTGGCCTGCCGCAATAATGGCGTAAGTGGCAAAACCAATTGAGACTCGTACAACAAAAAAAAAGTTTAAATAAATCTTTACCACTTTCCATCTGCAGAACTTCGCCAAGCGCTGCGCTGCCGACGCCATTGAGCTAGACATCTCCAACTATAAGGATCAGTTTGTGCACGAACATAATAAGCGTAGAAATTTCTTAGCGCTCGGCCTTTTGCCTGGCTACTTTCCCGCTTCTCGCATGGCTACTATGGTAAGTGTTTGCTGATTTGCTAAAGATGTCATTTGCATAAAGTCAATAGCAATAAAAATAATCGCAATTAAATTGCATTGTGCGTTTTGTGTGTGTTTTTTTTTTTTTTTGTAGTCAAAAAGTGCTAATCACTCAATAATAACCATTAAATCTATAAATGATGCGGTTTAAAACAAAAGACTTAAGCAACAAACTCGTTTCGCTTTCATTTGCATTTTGGTAAGTTAATGTGCGCGTCCAACTCGTTGGCAGAGTGTGTCTTAGTACGAAAAGGCAAAACAGGAAACGGGATACAGCAAACGGGATAAAACAAAATCCAGAATCAGCCACACCTGCTTAGCCGCTTGCCAAGTGATTGCCTCAGGATTTTAGTGGGCGTTTTTTTTATGCAATCGCAAGTTGTAAAAGCTCCAACAATTTTATCGCAAATAAATCTGTCGCTGCAACTCATCAAACAAAGTTTAGAGTTTTTATGAGAATCACATTGATTACTTAATTTTGAAAATGATAGATTTCGATTTTATAAATTGTATGTAGCTTTGTTTATTGAAAGTATTTGTCTGCACATTTTATATTCTTGTACCCAACGCAGATTTGTGTGTAAAAATGTGTATAATACGGAAACCATACCGAGTATACAGCCACTGGCAAAAGTATTTCAGCATTGATTTTTTTGAGATTTTGAAAAGGTTTTCCATAGTCAATTTTTTTTAATAAATATAGAGCTCATTCTACAACAAACATTATGTAAGGCAAAATTTCAAACTTTGTAGAAAATTAATAAATTTTTCCTAAGAAATAAATTGTGTTACAAAGTTCAATAACATTGCTAAAATAGTATACAACTCAACAAAATTTCAAACTTTTAATCAGAACTTTTAAAACAAGTTCGAGTATAAAGTTTTATTACCCATTCAATTTTAGTACAATAAAGTGGAAGTGGTTTGAAGTTGCTAAAAATAACTTTAATTTTTTTTTTTTTTTTTTTTTTTTTGTTGACGATATTGAGCCTTTTTTCCGTAAACGAATTTTTTTATTCAACGTTTAAAATTTTATTTACATGGTCTTTGTTGTAGAATTAGCTTTACATTAAAAAAATTAACAAAATAATTCACCATGAAAATCGTAACTAAATCATCGACAAATTCCGTTTACCGGTGACTGTACGTTTTGTAAATAAAAGTAAGAAATTACATTTGACATTTTTTATTTTTCACAAGAAAATAGAATACTTTTGAATTCAAAAGAAGCAAAACTAAAATTTAAATGTTTCTTCGCTACTGATAGTTCGATGAGATTCGTAATAAAATACGAATGGTCACTCAACATTCGAAAAAAATACCGAAAATCAAAAGAGAGAAAAACCTCGAAAAACTCGGGTAAGCTTTAAAAATTTCGCGAAAAAAATCCCGAGAAAATCTCGAGAAACTTAAAAAATCGCGTTTCACAAAAAGTAAGAAATTTCTAAGAACTTTGAAAACTCCAAGAAATCTTGCAATAAACCTAAAAAAAAATCACGAAAAGTCCCCAAGAAAAAATCGATAATAGTCTCCTTAAACATCCTTAAAAATCTTGTTTCACGAATTTCTTCTAAGGTTCTGAAAAGTTCGAAATAAATGCTAAGAAATGTTCCATAAAAATACCGTACCAATTAAAAAAAAAAAACGAAAAGTTATGAGTAATTCCACAAAAGTCTGAACTGTCCCGAAAAATCTCGAAAAAAATCCAGAAAATTATAATAAAATTATCGGAGAAATCTCTTCGAAAATTGCGGAAAATACCGAAAAGAAGATCCCGAGGACATTTAAAAAAATCTTGAAAAGTTTTCAGAAATCTTGAAAGATGTCGAAAATTATTAAACACCATGTTTCACGAAAAGTAAGGAAAAAAGCTCTACTAAGGTTCAGAACAAATAATCCCGAACAAATGCTTAAAAATGTTTTTGAATGTTTTTGAAAAAAAACCAAAAAATTTCAGAAAATCCAGAAAAGTTACGAGGAATTTCGCAAAAGTATAACTCTCTGCGTGTTTTTTTAATAATCTTTCTAAGCTACTTGTAGTTACCGTTGCAGGATTTTTTTCAGCAAATTTTGCCATTCTGATTTTTGCTGTTAATTAACTGCTAGAAAAGTGGAGAAACAAAGCTACATTTCCACTGAGAGCTGATTTTGTGAACGGCGACAACACCGAAATCAAAAATAAATCTATTCTTGCCAAATTTCGTCAAACGAACTTCGTCATCGCTTTGGTTGTGTGCAATCTCATATACAGCAGTGTGTTTTAATTTTCTTCGGACGAATTTCTCTGAGCTCTTTGATTCCGTTCATAAATTAAAGAAGAATTTTGTATATTTGCTTCTTATACTCAGATTATAATCAGTTACACACTATATTTAGTTACATCAATCCGTTTAGAGTTAAGGGCTTTTCTTTTGGTGAAAAAAAATTTAAAAAATTGTATAGAAAATTAATAAATGTATATAGTAATGAGTTATGCAATACTAATGTTGGTTTAATAAACCCTAAACGTATCAGAGAAAAGTAATACAGAAAAATATGCTTAAGCAGTGTTGCCACCTAGTTTACTAACACTTTTTCTGTGTGTTTTCTTTTTTTTTTTTTTACTTCCATTTTCTGCAGGTTTGGGATGATGAGCTGCAATTTTTGGCATCATTAAATCTACGCACCTGCATACTGGATCATGATTCATGCCATACAACCTACCGTTTTCAGTATTCTGGTCAAAATCTATGCGGTGTTGTACGCGATCGCAATCCGAATGTGAATGTGAGTGGTATTATCGAGGAAGTGATGGGACTGTGGTTCGATGAATATCCACTCATCGACAGCAGTTATATACGGAGATTCCGGGTCACAAAATATTTGTAAGTATTTGTTATTGAACATAATAATATATATTGTTTTTTAAAACGTCACAGTACAACCTCTTGGGTACTTCATAGCAAAGGTGCTTCCGAAAGCAAATATTTTTGGTTCCATAAGAGCGGATTTCACTGAATTCTATTTTGCTTTTTAACGAGATTCAAAAATTTTTATTTTTTTTTTTCATTTTTAGCGAAGACTATGGCCATTTTGCCGAAATTGCTGTCGATCGTAATACCCATCTGGGTTGTGGTATAATACGTTTCACCCGCCCCGATGTACCCTACGTCTATATCTATAATATGGTTTGCAATTATGCATCGATTTATGCATTGGATACGCCGGTGTACACAGTGGGCCAACCCGGTTCGCGTTGCTTGACGGGCAAAAATCCCTATTATCCTGGCTTATGCTCGGTGAATGAACAAATCAATCCGAATTATTAAAATTTAGTGATTTATTGTAATAGTATGTATGTATGTAGCTATGCACATAAATATTTATAATACTTATTTTACTACTAGTAAACCAGATAAAAATGTAAATAAATACTTAAGCAATAAATTTAATAGTAATTTGCCTATAAATGGCAAATAAATGAGATATTAACTAAAGTTCTTTTATTTAAACTTTTTTCTTCAGTCAATTCTTTTGTATGCTGCTAGTTAACGAACCAACATTCGGCCAAATGTACGTCACAAATAATTTTGCATACTTAATTAATGCACACAAACTATTTCAATTTTGATATCTTTTATGGCACCTGCTATCAAAAGAACCAGCTTCCAAGGAAAGTTGTCTCATGGTTAGTCTAATTATGCATACAAAAATAAATTTGTTTCTATTAAAAATATCTAATTTTTCTGCACTAGGTTTCAGTGAACTATATTTAAATACGGAGAAAGAAGACAAAGTGTGAAGGAAAGTGGTGTTAAAGGTTAATGAAATCAAATCAATATATAAATTCAAAGTCAAGGGAAACATAAAAAAAAATAGTTGGTGCTTAATGGGGTGTGCGATTATTCGCCTTTTTCCGAAACCGGTTTTATTTTACAAATTTTCTTTACAGCAACACTTAGTTATAGTCAGAAATCATGACTAAAATTACAATACATATATATATGTTACTGTTAACAAGTAATTTTTAAGCAAAAAACAAAACCGACTTCAATTCTCTATATAAAAAGTTAAGATTATTGTTAATTTCTTCATGAAACAATGATCGGGTTTAAACCAAATTCGTATGGGACCACATGTGAGCTACCACCTTTTTCGTAGGAAAAATAATTATAGAAATCGGTCAACGTGGTAAAAAGTTATGTGGTAACATACATAAAAAAAAAAATGTTTAATAAAAAATATTCCGACGAATTGATAACCTTTTATTTTTTGTGAAGTCGCTTAAAAAATAGGTATAGCTTTTATTTATAAATGAATAAATCAAGTAGAACAGAAAAAATTTAGTGAAAAATTAACATTATCCTTTCTAAAAATTTATTTTCGTAAATAATTTATAAAAAATATAGGTCATACTAAAACATGAAAATAAAATCTGTAAACTTTGTGCAAAACTCAGAAAAATGCAATAAATTTGCGTACTTATTTCCAACTTTCAAAACTAGATTTTTTAGAAAAATTCTAGGTTTGCAGTTTTATAGCCCATACTCTGTATGGAAAATACTGCGTGAAAAAATTGTCAAACTAAAATTGATTGGGTTATAAGACTGTATACTTAGAATTTTTCTACAAAATCTAATTTTAAAATTGCAAATTAATACGCAAATTTGTTGAACTTTCCCGAGCTTCAAACAAAGTTTACAATTTTATTTGTATATCTTTTATTGTTGTATGAATTATATTTTTATAAAAAAATTGCGAAAAGAAATAAGAATAAAATTTTTTGGATATATTGCGAAAAATTCTCCGTGCCAATACTTTTGTCCGGCACTGTAAATATCTATTAATTATATTCCTAATTATAATTACATTAAATAAAGGAAATACAAGAATTTTAGGTAATTAATTACAATTATTTTTCACAAACAAAAACATTAGATAAAAAAATGTTTTGTTTTTTTTTTATCGTAAATCAATCGTTTCCTAGACTCATTTACATTTAAAAATCGGTCGTAAAAGTATTCGCATACGAATACTGTTTCAATCCGTTTACAACTGTTCGTAGGCGCTACACAATTTGAAGCGAAAAAGAACTCGAGAACGAATCGTAAACGACAATCATAAACGACTTTTATTCGGTTTTTTTGTCGAGAAAATATCCAGTCACGAGCTCGTTAACGATGATTTTGCTGGCTGGGCGTGCTCCAGTTCCATTTTAAAACAAATAAATATTTGGAATTTTCAAGATGGCCACTGCCACAAAATGGCGGACTACATATTTTCTTACAACCGCCTCAATAGGTGTATCAAATGAAATGATTAGTAGAATACAGTGTACTATAAACAATTCCAAATGCAAAATTGTGGATTACATGATTTTATTTTAGTGTCATCAATGCTTTAGATTGACGCGGAGGGAAGGTTGATGACTGGCACCTGACCCCTTTTAGCTTTTAGTACATTATCTTCCTTTTTACATTTATCGTCACATCTTCGGCATTTACAGTCGGAACTTGAAGTATGATAAATCGATATTTTTTGTCCCGAGGAGTAAATTTTTTTAACTGACTTAACAAAAAGGAGAAGGTTATCAGTTCGTCGGAATATTTTTTTATATATGTTACCGCATAACTTTGGACCACGTTAACCGATAATTCTTTTTTCATCGGAAAGGTGGTACCTCAAGGTTTGTTTAGATCCGATAATTGGATCGTGAAAAAATTAACGATAATCTTAAATTTTTATATGAGAAATGAAATCGTTTTTTTTTAGCTTAAATATTACTTGTTTGTTCATAAGTTTTTTGGCACTTATCCACCATATTTCAGCTCCTACCACCGTAATATACCACCCTACTGTCGGTAACTTAAAACACTCTAAAAAATCATTAAACTTTTGCTAAGAAAGCTTTTCGATTACTATTAAAAAAAAATGCATTTCCGAATGGAGGTGTCACGGCAAGGTATCACGCATTTAAACTAAAGATTTCTTAACCCTTTTCAAAAATTCAACCAATGATTTAAAAAATTTTAAAATACATAAATATATATAACGGCTAATTTCAATCGTTCCTTTCAAAAATCACATAAAAAAATTTTTAAAGTTTTGAGTTTTACCAGGGTCCTTTAAATTTGTCACTAACATCCTAGGTGTTTAAAAAAGAAAGAGATCTCAGCTATTTTCATTTTTTTTTTTGCGAAATATATTTCAAAACTATGAATAATACGAATCCAAATCTCAATTGCACGAAAAATTGGTTAATATTTTTCAACAGATTACACTACTCACTATCGACTTTTCTGCCACGGTTTACTTTTGTGACAAATACGGTCAACTGCGACTGTAGCTTGCACATTAATTTGATGTATATTTGATGACCGATTTGAAATCGTGGAAATCCTGGAAACTTCTGGATAACCTATGGAGCTTGCACTATACCTCAATTCTTTAGCTATTCCAGATCGCCCTAACTAAGTCGTATGACTGAGCAATTATATGTTTGTAGAGGCATATGCATGCATGCATAAGTAAATATTATAATAAAACTCGAAGTCAACACGTGCTTAACTTAGTAATCGCGCCCACATCATGCCATGCATGTGTCAACCTGTCAAAAGCTTTCCTGCTTTGGTAATATGCTTTTTCATTATACATTTAACTCCAATATTGTAATTACTACGTCATCTCGACTGACTTTTGTTTAAGGAATAATTGTAGCGTCTCGCCATTTTTGGCACCTTAATTTATTGAATTAATATGTATGTAAATTGCAGTTAATAAACATAAGACAAAAGTTTAAGAATTTCACTTCCACTTTCACACGGTAAATACTTTTCGTTTTGGGTATAAATTTCAGGCGAATTTAAGCGAGGCATTTAATCACGTTTTGCACACACAACTCTCTCCATCCATCAGTTTATCACACACAACTTGAATTAATTTACAAGTTCATAGTTTAGAATAAAAAAGTATGCTAGTTTTTTCTGTGAGAAACAGTTTCTTCATCTTCGGTTTCGCTGTGTTGACGGCGGCAAAGGCTTCTAAAAAATTATCTTGGTGTGATCCGCAGCTATGCCCAAATGGAAAGCGGCACATTGCGTGCGGCCACGATGGGGTAAGCAAAAACTCATACCCATACACATATATATATATGAGCATAGTTGTTAGTACCCCTTTGCAAATTAAAAATTGTGCGCTAACCTCCATTTTTGTTTACCTACCATAGAGAGCCACCGCCGCCTGCCCACCCGATGCCGTTATGATCGATATACGCTCACACAAGTGGGAGATTCTACACGAGCATAACAAACGTCGTAATTTTGTAGCGCTCGGTCATTTGCCTGGCTATTATCCTGCCTCGCGTATGGCCACCATGGCGTGGGACGATGAGCTCGCCTTTCTCGCCGAACTTAACTTGAAAATGTGCTATGTGGAGCACGATGACTGCAACAATACGCCACGCTTTAAATCAGTTGGACAAAATCTATCGGGCGTTGCCTACCAAAGGCAGGGTGTTAACATAAGCGAAGTCATAAGCCGCTCGATGGGTTTGTGGTTTGGCGAATATCATTTAATCAATAGCGGTTATATTGCAAGTTTCAGGGTTACACGTCAATTGTAAGTAAAATACCTAAGAAATGCTCAATAACTTAAAACTAAAAATTATATTTCGTATGCTTTTCCTCCTTATTTGCAGTGAGCAGTATGGTCACTTCGCGGAGTTCGTTGTGGATCGTAATACACATGTCGGCTGTGCTGTGATCCGTTATACTAATCCTGCTTTCCCATTACATCACATCTATAACATGGCCTGCAATTATGCAAGCAAATATGCTTTGGGTATTCCGGTTTATCGGGTGGGCACACCAGCTTCAGAGTGTAAGAAAGGCAAAAACCGTTACTATCCGGGCTTATGCTCTCCTAAAGAGATATATAATCCTCACTATGAATAAGGCAGTGTGCAAAACAATACTTATTAAATAAAGACTGAATTACGAGTTATAAATAAAAAACAAACTTGAGGTTTTTTGTAAAGAGTTTTGACCGGTTCAAGGTCTGTGTCTCCAATGGCTGAAGATTGGGATGCAGTCGCGGCATTCCTAGGTCGATAGTTGTGGTAGATTGTGCACCGAATCTTAATTAGTAGTCGGTACGTCGTTGAGTCCAACGGTCTATATAGGTCTGTACAATGCCCATATTTTCGGAAATATGCCTTCTGACGTGCCTGGGCGGAGGCTCTTCTTCAAGCAGAGGTCTATTGGCGTGATCACGTCTGTGGCACCCACCAAAAACTGCTTGCTTAGCATTTTGTTATGCTCCCTTCAAGAATATGCAGATGTGCTCTTAGCATGCAGTGCCCAGTGAGTATGCCTGTAATGATTCAAATTTTTTTTTAGAGAGGTTGATTAGAAGTTCGTATTTTTGTATATTGTCGAAGCCATATTATTTTCTCCCTCTGTTGTTCTCTCCTGCTTATTGCTCCTATCCCAAGATTTTCGCTAAGTGTGTTTGGACCCATTGCATGGAGTGGCTTGGGACCCATTGGAGCCGAGGCCGCCGCTATTCTGGCTAATGCGTCCGCCGTCGTACCTTACTTCGTACATACGCGGTTAATTGGACAGTTTTCAGAGCGACATCCAATGCAACTGGCCCCAAATGGTGTATGTTCTTACCCAAGAAGGCTTCCTTGCAAAAAAACATAGCCGCAGTTTAACTTTTAGAGCACAATGAAGAAATCCTGAATATGTTTTAAGGTATAGGGCCAAAAGAAAGAAAGTTAAAGAAAGAACATCTTAACTCATGTTGGTATTAATATATCGATGAATTGAGGCAACGAACTAGTAAACTGTGGATTTGTCGCTCGGGGAATACCCGAGGCAACTAATTCCCCGCCGAGGAGAAGAATTTGGCGCTTTCAGTCCATTGGATCTAAGTTAGAAGCTATGCATTTAAGCGACATTTGTTCCCACCACGTTGGCCTTTAAGTTGAAGTCGATTATAAGCGAAGAGTAGAAGTCACGAATTCTAGGGCTGAAGCGTCATTTATGGCGACACCAAAAGAAAGAAAATTTCGGTTTTAACTGATCTTGTTAACGCTGACTGTCCTGTAGTCACTAGTGGCTATTCGTTACCAATCCTAAGTAGCTCGAGAGCGTCGTCTATATTAGATGATGTATTTTGTACCCATACCAATGCTTGAGGCGTGTTGGATACATTTTCAAACCTTCGCTGGAGGGCTTTTAGTGTTTTACTTTCGCAGCTATGCACTCAAATGCAAAAAACGGTATTTTATTTAGGTTCTTTGCCGAATAGGCTTTCTGCTTTAGAAACTAACCTCCAGTAACACAAGGCCCAGATAGTTGCAATTTTTTATTTTCAAAGCTTCGGAACTGGGTCCCCTGGGAAATTACGTCCCGTTTTTCGACTTTCCCTCGCAGAGCTTAGACTTGATGACTTTCCTTAAATGAGCATAACGGGTGGCTCCATTCCAAGCCAGCGATATGATTATCGAGTCAACAACCACGGAAACGGTCGACTACGGCAGAGTCCTATGATGTCGCAAGTCCACCATTCTCCTGAGTGAGGACCGATATCCGAGGCGCTTTGTTAGGATACAGTTTGAAAACACACTCTAGAGAGTGAAGCAATATCCGTGTGGTCTAGAATACTTTTGTTGTTCACGCTCTTATTATAATGTGTAGTTAAAACTATGTCACATCCCTTCGTAAGAGCGTGTTACTTACTTCATCGTAGTTGGTTTTTATTACTCGCGCAACTAAATGCTCGCATTGTCGCAGCTACCGGAATTCTAACAATGCCTAATACTTATTTGACATAAAATTAATGAAATACAAACAAAATTACATTATTGCGTATGTGCATATGTAATAAGGTAAATAACTAACACAACACTTAGCATTTTTATCAATTTCCAATAAATCATTTGAAATCACTCCATATAAGCTTTTAAAGTGTGGAATACATTAATTACCAGCAATTAATCGCATTATACAGCTCATAAGCCCACATACATTCAAATGTTTATTTTTTACTGTATTTTCAAGAAGCTTTATTATTTTAATACCAAGAATTTATTGCAAGCAATAAACCCCAGCAATGTCAGTCACATAAGAATTATTACTAATTATCAAGTTTAACGGTTCATGTATCCCAAAAAAACTTGCAACGGCAGGGAAGCTGAGATAGCAAAATACATTTCACTCAAAGAGAAAGTTGTTGAAAACGCCAGTAGGTAAAACATCTGCAATGCAATTTACACTAATAGGGCAATTCATCTAAGCACGTAAATGCCTCGTAACCACGTGAACCTCGTTTTACATAATTTTGTAATTTTGTATGGAAATACGGTTTATTTACGAGGTTACGCGGATACGAGGCATTTACGCGTTTATATGAATACCCTGAATGAACAGACTGCGGAGTTTTATATAGAAACCGAAGCAAAGAAATATTTACCACTTAACTATAAGCAAAATTCATAAATTTGTATAATTTTTTTTTTTTAGTTATGGGGTACATATTTTTAGGCTTCGTTTTCTGCATAAACATCACAAGTTGACTAATGATTGAATTGTTTGTGCGGTTTTTGTGTTGACAAAGTAAGCTTATTTGAATATACAAGGAGTGTCAGTTAATGCCGAAATTTTCATCTTCGTTTTAGTTAATGTCTTCATAAACGTATTAATCTAAAAAATGGCCTTCGCATACACCTTGGTGTTCATTTAAGTGTTTGTCTTCATTTAAGTATTCGCCATCGGAATATATCTGTACTAGAGTTCGTATTAATATTCGTATGCGACTTTGTCTTCGTATTCGAATCCTCTTCATATTCGCATTTTTCTGCGTATTGGTCTTTGCATTCACCTTCATCTTCATTTTAGTCACTGTATTCGCATTCGGATTATTCTTCGGATCGTATTCGCATTCATCTTAGTATTCGTTTCAGTTCTGTCTTTCTTGTTGTCTTCACAATCACCTTCATATTCGTCGTGTTCTTCATATTCCTCTTCGTATTCCTGTTTGTCATCGCATTCGTTCCCGTATGCGGACTCATCTTGATATACATCTTCGTATTCTATGTAACTAATCTCCGAATTCGAATTTCTATTCGTCTTCGGTTGATCTAAATATTCGGGTTCGTTTTCGATTTTGTGTTCATAAAAGCATGCATATTTGTTTTCATATTAGTATTGGCCTTCGTATAACTATTCCTCGAATATACGTCTTCGTACTTGTGTCCGCATTCTGTTCGTAATCGTCTTCCTTGCATTCTTGTTCGTATTCGTGTCCGGCAAGTTTTTCTACTGAACTTGTATTTTACTTAAGGCTGGCCAACGTACTAGGGCATCGTAGGTAAGGCATACAGTTTAGCTTTCAAACCCCAACTAAGCAACCTCCTTAGACTATATTCAAACACGCCAGTTAGCTGAGGCAATTAAGCTTTAAATTACCTCACTTAGTTTGGTGTTCACACACATTCAATTAAGTTGAAACAGTGTTTAGTGTTTGTCAGCTGATATTGTTTTTATTTTGCCTGTCAAAAATTTTGCGAGGCTATTATCTGTTCAATTTGCCTTGGCCTGAACAAACTGGAGAGATTTTCAACTTTAAATAAAATTTTATTGGTGTATAATAGAAATATTGAACTTTTCCAGTCAATACAATAAAGATTTGATTGCAGACTGGCTTTTTTACGAAAAAGGAAGAAGGATAATTTAATTTTTCTGTTATTTCGTTTTCTTATTATTGAACATACCCTCTGCTCTTCTCATTAAACACACTTCACAGGGTTGCATGAGCAATTTTACGACAATTTGCTGCCAATTAGTTACCAATTGCCAGCTATGGAAAGCGAATAAGATCGTCAATTACGAAAAGAAAAGCGAGTTACGTGTCATGTGAATATCCTATAACCCATCTATAAACTGGCAGACATAAAAGTCATCACCGATACTAGATTTTTGACATACGTCAACAAGAACATGGCCCATATTGGGGTATTTTCCTTTGTTCTCTGCGTTTTTTATAGTTACATATTTTTTCGCCGTTATTATGGTTTTTGTGAACCAATCTTACAAAAAAAGCTATTAGATATGAAAGAAGGTACTACAATTTTGAGCCGTGTTTTCATGATTCGTTTTTTGGTATTATATGTATATATATCTATTTAGTCTAAGATCTGACAAGGGCCTTCAGCATTTAACGTGTAAAGAAATATCTCCTAACACGTTCAATTTCAAGCCATGCTTTTGTCGGATCTCCTACTAATTCTTTCGAAACAATTGAAATGAAGCCTCATTGGTATATTTATTTTTAGCAAAAATTTCAAATAATACTAATTTCATTTACTTGTCGCGCGTTGTCGCGTAAACTGTTTTCATAGGAATATACTTTGGATCCTTGGCTACACAACTTCTGTTATAAAGCTGTGCCCCTGCGTAGCCCTTCTTCCGCTATTTTAACATCCTTATTATCCGAAATTCGCAAACAATCTAAAAGTACGAAGATCATATCCGGACTTGTCCATCTAGAGTTTTTGTGGACCAATATTAACGGGTTATTATGATAAGCTTCCATTTATCATTTTATTACTGAGTAGAAAAACACATAAAATAATTTTGACCGGTTTTACTATGCAAATACTCCATTGTGCGGCGGCTAAGCATTAACACAGAGCATAGCCTAGTTTTATGCATTAAACCCTGTAATGGATGCTTCTATTTTACACCAAAACCGCTCCACACCTATTTACTCAGCGAGTAATAGTATTTTGTTTTATTAATTTATTTTATTTCTATCCAAATTTCTTTCTAATTTCATTGGCAGAAATTTCCTGCAGAGATGATTCACACTCTAATGCGCGCGGGCGTATGAGTGATATTTAATGTGCGATATGCAAATGCAAATAAATTAATTAGATATGTAATGCAGTTCGGCTTGCGAACTGATGAGCACAGCGGAAACAACAATTAGCGCGAACGTTGTAATGCGACATATGTATGTACATATGTGTATATGTATTATATTAATTAATATAATTATTTCCATTTTTACGCGTTCGTTTCCTCGTAGCTTTTGATTATATATTTTTTTTTCGTTCATTTTAAATGCGCTTTACGAGCGATCACCTTTTGTTTATTTACGGAAATCTTAGCACTTCATGACTAAACAGCCGGTCAGACACTAAAGAAGAAGAACACAGTACACAAGCAATTGATCAATGTGTGGTTAATAATTTCAATTCGGCATTTGTCTTTGTCTTTGTTTTATTTATTTTTATTTTTGGGATGCTTACTGTAAATAGTAATTAATTATAATTTGGATTGAATTTCTCTTTCGCCGAACAGAGGCCGGGATATTTTGGATTGGGGCCGGTTGTACATTCCGAAGCGGATGCGCCCACCCGATAAACCGGCGTTTCCAATGCATATTTACTTGCATAATTGCAGGCTGTATTGTAGATGTACAGGAAAGGGTAGGCGGGGTGTGTGTAGCGTGACATGGCGCAGCCGACATGAGTATTGCGATCGATCATCATTTCCGCGAAGTGGCCGTACTTTTCGCTGTAGGAAGATGGTGGGTTTTACATAATTATTAAATTTTTCAAATATTTCACCTTCTTTCACTTACAAATTCGATGAAACACGAAATGAGCGTATGTAACTGCTATCGATTAGTGGATATTCGCCAAACCATAAACCCATCGACATGGCTATGATGTCCGTCACATTGGCTTCCAAGTCGTGGCGACGATCAACGCCCGAAAGATTTTGTCCCACACTCGGAAAACGATAGGAATTATTGCAATCATCGTGCTCCACATAACACATTTTCAAATTCAGTGATGCCAAAAAGGCGAGTTCTTCATCCCACACCATGGTGGCCATGCGCGCGGCTGGATAGTAGCCGGGTAGCTCGCCGAGCGCTACAAAGTTGCGACGTTTATTGTGTTCGTGCAGAATGTGCTGACGATATTGCCGCAAGTCAAAGAGTGTGGCATCTTCTGGACAGTTTTCAGCGAACCGCTGCGATAAGGAAGCAGATGAGAAAAAGCAAAGCATTAATAAAATTATAGGCAAATAAATAAAATTGTTTGATACACTCTATTTATTTGTATGCTTTTGGAAATAAAGCACTTTGTAGGCCAGGGCTGGCGAACATTTATACATACACGTGCCATTATTTGCAAAGAATTATTCAGTGTAGCCATGACGTGCCAAAAAGAATTCCTAACTTATCACCGTTCTTGAAGACATTGGTAGACACTTAAATCGTGAAAAAATTAAATGTCTCTGTGTACCTCGTGTCCATACGCAAGCTTCGGCAGACATCTAATATGTCTGGAATTAAATTCCAAGTTTCTAAAATTTTAGTATTAACAAATTTATACATGTTCAGTTTATCAAGTGAAGGCACATAAGAATATATAATAAATTTGAGTGTTTCCGATAACTCCTTGAGTTTTAAGAAACCTCAATGTGGGTGCCGCGGAACCCTGGGTGAACGAACTTATAAAAAATATTGAAAACTTTGAATTTGTATGGCGATTTCGTTCCTACAAAAAATTTTGCCTTCTCATCGCCCTCTGCTTAGTAGTTTGCAGCTTTGACGAAAGTACCGACATAGTGAGACTTGCTGTTGTTCTGGTGTTTGTGAGGTACTCATTCTCAATACAAATCTATCGACAAATTTGTAAAGAAAAATTATTTGAAATGGGGCAAGTGTGTTGATATTTGCAGTGATGCAGTGGCTGCAATGGTTGGAAACACGAAAGGAGCGGTGTCTAGTACGCAGCAACAAGTGGCAGAAAACGCCACCAGCAGCCACTGTGTGATCCATCAGTATTCCCTGACGACTACAAAGATGCCACCACAAGGTTTAAACCCCGCATTGGATGACGCTGCGAAGATAAATAATTATGCTAAGGGTCGCCCGCTTCAACCCTTTTCAAACTTGCCGCTGGCTTTAAAGGGGAAAGATTTTAGCCAGATTGTTTGAGAAAAAATATGCACTGGTGGCCACATTTACAAAGCAGTCTTTGGTTCAAAATTTAACTGATGTCGTTTAGCTGATTGGGGTAACTAATTTGTAACGCATGTATTGAAAGCGCAAACATCTCCAACTTTTGTCGGTTGCAATATCTACATACATATGTGAGTCTGCATTTTGACAAATGCTTACATAAAAAACAAATACAGAAGCAAGCTTTTAGCGTCAAATGCTTTAAAGGCGCTGGCCCAATGCAGGCTTGCTTTGCGCGCCTTGCTGACTTCAATTTGCTTTGACTAACTTTGAAAACTTGCTTGGCCGTGGCCGTGGTGGCTTGGAACGCTGTCAAAGTAACCAGCTGTCTGGTTGAAAAGTCAATGTCTGTTCCCTTAACGTTGATAATTATTTCCTAGAAAACTCTAAAAAATGTATGAATAACTTTCAGATTTATTTTTAAATAAATGCGAAATAATGTTTGTATTTAATAGAAATGAGAATAATGATACATACATATCTATATCTACATTTACTAAAAAAAAACTATAACTTAAAAAAGCGATTTACTTGAAGAAGAAGTTTTTTCCTCTCGTGTAAATTTGGAAAAGTGCGCTTCGCAACTTTTTACTATAAGATAACGATATGTTAAATATATATATATATGTGGAAGCAATGAATCATTTTTATTTCATTTCGAATTATCTGCATTTTCTGTTACTTTTTTAAATTAAGTAAGCAACTTTTTGTTTGAATTTATGTATTTTGAAAGGAACATACCTCTTTGTCAAAAGCCTACAAAACGCTTTCAAATAAAACATTTGCCTAATTCAAACTTTGAGGCGCTTAAAGCAAGTGAAGAAAAGCTGCCATTTGGCCAGTCTTTATACGTTTTAGTATATTTCAAATAATTCTTTACACTTCTCGCAGCGAAGCAAGCAAAGCAAGCCTGCATTGGGTCAGCACCTTAAGGGTAAAATTGACAAAGCTTCCAATAAACTTAAAGGAAATAATGAAATCATCAAAACAATTTCATTCCTTACATTAAAGCTTAATGAGCATAAAATTTGCACTGTGTTTTCTTATTTTCGTAAATAGTCAAACCATTTTAAGAGTTGGTGTGCCGGGAAATTTTTTTTAGCACCAAAAGGGTGCCACGGTGAAAAAAGTTTGGGAACGCCTGCTTTAGTGAATCAATTGCGTTTTCAAACGCTCACTCTAAATTTCTGCAACACTGTATTGGATACCAGGCCACTGGAGGTGGGAAGATGGCCGACGATTTGGCACTAGAAGGATCCTCAACTGTCTTTATGGTGCCGGAATCATTGTGTTGGATACATAGACGCCTGGTCTCTTAAGCTATCCCTCTAATAGGAAGGATATCAATCTTTTAAAAAGAGCAGACATCAGATTGCTTTGCTGAATACGTAACTGAATTCGTTACCATTTGCACAGAATAAGCTAGCCTACAAAGTCAGAATGCTGGCTCTGCCTTTAAGATGTTGAATCTTCAGAGCACATTCTTTGTGATATTATGACTTTGGCCAGAAAAATAAGTACATATCTAAAACATGTATAACACTGTGCGACAGTAAATTTTACCCACAAACAAATCTATATATTCGCCAAACCATGGGCCAAATATAGTAAAACTGCGTTTATATTTTACTCTCTGATGGCATGCTCTTTTTTAAAAGACTTTGAAATTTAATAGATATTATTACTTTAAAAAATTGTTAAAAAATCTCTGTGCAATGTAGAAAAACAATTTGGACATAAAATTAAAGAGAAAATTTCGTTGAATTAAAGCCGATTAAATTTTTTGACGTACGACGATGATTTGGTATAGAAAATGTTCTTTAAAAATTTTGTCCTTCAATATCCTTGTAATTTTGCAATAATTATTTTTGAAAAATCATATGTTAAGGACTAATATACACTCGACCACATTCTCGAATTTCATCTTCCTAACTTTATAGATTTAAAAAACCAAATTTATTAAACTCGCATTTGATCATATCTTTGAAACTACAAAGTCCTTAAGAAAAATCCTGACGTCAGAGCGAAAACCTAAAATCGTAGTTTTACTAAATTTGGCCCGCAGTCAGTATATTGATTGATTCGTGTGTTTCGATTTTTTGTTTATGTCGCACGGTGTAATAAGTATAACCAGCCGAATAACTATTTTGTTTGCAGTTTTTAGTTTTTAATTTTAATTTATTTAATTAAAGTAAGGATAAGAAATATTGTTTTTGTCTCTAAATACACTGTACATACGACAATGAAAAGTGACTTATTTCCGAACTACCTTTGGCTAGTCAAGAAAACTTGTGATCGCTTTGTGTCATTAAGAAAAGATAGCATGGACAAAATTAAAAAAAAAAAATTCTTCTTATTTCCTCAATATACTAGATAAACATCACTCCAACAGCGTTCTCCAAAAGCTCTGTGTGGTTATTTGTTGCTGCTATAACAACAACAACGTTACCCGTTTATACGCTTTTATTTATGTTATTGCACTATTTTTATTTTATTTGAATCTTTCACTTTATACTTACACCATCGCTTCTGCAAGCGACATGCCATTTGCCGTTAGGACAAAGTGATGGATCGCACCAATCTAATTTTTCCCACGCATTGGCAAAAACAAAAGATATGAAAACAGCTTGTACACCGAAGAAAAGTAACCATGCAGATTGTGTATGTTTGAAAGGCATTTTTTTGTTTGTTTGTTTGTTTGTTTCAACTTCAACTGCTTAAACCACGATGTATTTATATTTATATAATTTGTTTATTTAGTTATTTAATGCAACTCCTTTTTGTTTGAAGAAAGTGTCTAATTGAAAGTGCAAGTGCAATTATGAAGGTAACTGCTGACTTATTAAACGCAACTCGTCCTCTGCTTTGACATTTATACTCAGGTTAATCGAAATCGTAAAGTACGAGTGCAGTGCGTTTGAACCGTTAACGACACTTATGACTTATGGCTTAAGCTGTAAATTTTTTTTTTGTTTTTTTTTTGCACATGGTCTTAGTTGTTGTAGCGGTGTTGCATGACACACGCTCAATCAATCGTCCAATTGCTGTTCTCATCCTGTCACATTGTTTAGTAACAGCAAGAAATTTTCGAAGTCGAACTCATCAAGATAAACTTTTTGATCTGATTTTTAATGTCAAATTTTTTATTCCCAATTTTAATTGCAATTTTATTTGATAAACTTGTTAAATATAAATATATTTCCTTAATACGAGTACGTGTGTGTATGGCCGTTAAAAAATTATTGACCAGGTTATCAAAATTAGCACAGCTGGTCGTGTATTGCACCCATACCATGTCTAGTTGTATGTATGTATGTGTTGAATTCTGTACTGAGGAAAGTGATATTTTGTCAATGTAATTGTGGCTTATTAATATTTAATTTTATTATTTTTATTGAGCTTTCTTATTAAGACTTTGCAAAACGATTTTGATTTGGACCTAAATCTATAAGTTTCTTGATTTGCCGCTTTCTAGAGTTTTGCCAGTTATTTATACGAGTACACTGAGAGAAATAATGCGTAGTAAAAATGAATACTTTATATTTGATTATCGTTTAAAAATGTTCGTATTTAAAAATAATATTTTCATACAAAATTTATTACGCACGTATTTGACTGTTCACATCAGAGCGCCGCTCTGAGAGCACACCCATACATACATAGTACATACATGCCCCTGCAAAAAAAACGACTAATCCGGCATGACTCCGGGAGCAATCGCAGAGGAACATGCGACTAATACCACTTTTGATCTCTTTATATGGAATAAACTGTTCGCTTTTGTTCGAGCATGTCCTATGAAGAGACTAATTGTTCACCTGTATACTCGAACGGGTATAAAATGCGACTAGTCACTTTTAAAAAATAAAAATAAAAATTTGCGCCAGCTGAGATTCGAACCGGGGTGCTCAGTTTTGTTAGGCGAATACTCTCCCTGCGTGCCAACGCCGCACATGAAATTTCATTGACTAAGTGCGTACATATCATTAAGTCGTTAATAGTACCCGTTAAAAATGAGTTTGGGACTAATTGATCTCCAATTATACCCATAAGGGATGAGTCGAGACCAATTGATCTCCATTAGTACCCGTATGAGACTAGTTGCGACTAATTAATGCCCAATTGTACCCGATTGAGAGTAATCTCGGAATACTCTCTTTAGAGATTAGTCGCACAATTTTTTGCAGGGTGTTTATCCGCACAAATCGCGTGCTGTGGTGTTGATAGATATTCAACATTTGAAAGCAAATTTATATGCCTGGGGGTAGCTGAGTGCGCAAAGATGCTTGCCACAAGTTGTTGATATCTGGAGATGGTCGGGTTCGAATTCCACCGAAGGCAACTTGCAAATTTTTATTTTTTTTTTAGTTTTTGTCTTGATTATTCACTTCACGGATGCTTTTTCAGTACGAACGCGGTCATTTTAATATACGCGTAATTGAATTGAATATTTACCAATATACAATACTTTCGTTAACGTTTATAGTCAATTACGTTTCTATTTGATTTTAATATTTTTTTCCCTCAAAGTACTAATTGAATACAGATGATTCATACATTGAACAAAAAAAATAGACGTTCTGGACGTAAATAAATAATAACACAGCCAGACAAAAGAAAGTGTCGTGTACTTTTCACAGGAATACCCTACCCTCATGTATTTTGATACGCTGAGCACAATTTTTTTCTGTCACATAATAGTTGTGTTTGTTTCCTCATTTCCAGTAAAATCCAGTGAAAGTTTTTACGAATTTTCATGTTTTGTCGTTTTCGTACGCAAAAACTTGCAAAGTAGGGGAAATTTAGAGAGCGAAAATGACAGCTTAAGTTACAAGTTTTTATTAGATAAATTTTTACTTGTAAGAATTTGCCAGTATAAAAAACAGCTGATCGCATGTTGATGGATACAATTTAAACTAATAAGGAAACTGTTTATGGGATTTTATTGTTGAAATTTACAAAATAAACCAATATAAATATAAAATATATTGTTTTATTGGGAATTTGCTGCTAAGAAAAAAATATATATATCAGCTACTCATGAAACTTGCAAATTATTACTGGATTTGCGTTCGCGTCCTTTTTTGGATTGTTTTTCTATGAGAGCGAATTCTCGGAAATTAAGTAACTGAAGAGTTACTGGCAAGTTGCTGGATAATTTGTAACCAAACATAAATAATATGTTTTACCAAATTTCTAAAAATATACAAAAAAAATACATTTATGTAAATATCACAAACAATTCGTCGATGTTTTTGCAAAACCGGCCATCGACCAGTTGCCTCGATCGGCATCGAGATTTATACATAAAAATCATAAAATCGTTATTAAAACAATAGATTTGCAAAATAATAGCTAGAGAAAATACCACCAATCAAGGCAATGCTTTCAAGGAAACCCCCGCTTTTTCGCTCTCCTGTAAAATTTGAGTGCCGTAAGATAAGCGGTTTTGCAATTGTTCGATTGGCGGTTTTGCAAAACCATCGACGAAATGCTGTCAAAGAGCTTCACCACCACTGAATCACCCGATAGTTAAATTTTTTTTAAAGAAGCTTATCTTTTCTTACTTTAAGTTATTGTTGTGTATTTATTGGGTTTATAGTAGTCCAAATGCTACTCTTTACAGCATTATTTGTCCTTCAGTCCATCAATTCGGTCACACCTTCTAAAGCACACATCAGAATAGAACTCTAATAAAATACCGCTGTCCTATTTTCATTTACCTTTTTATCCTTCTTTAAATTTAAAATGTTAAGTTCAGGACTATGTCGTCTCATCTTCTTTATATTAAATATTCTCCCAATTCCGGATTATCGAGCAAGGAATGCCTGGTCTGAGCCATTTTTAACGAAAAATCAGATATCTCATGTCAAGGTGGGCTACCTGTGACCTGTTAGCTTAGAGTAAAGTTTCATTGTTTAACTAGTTTGAAAGTAGTTTTAGGGATAGGCAGCTGGATTGTCACCACAGACACTTAAACTCTTACCTCGTACCTATCAGCGTATTTTCCACCATGAAGTCCATGGCCTTGAGGATTACAAATACATCGACTGTAAATACCTAGGCATATGCCACAAGAAGTGAAGTGAAGATTGACCCCGTTACCTTCCATATACATAGATTCCAGATCATCACCCCGTGTCATTGAGGGAGCCAATCAGTGAAGATCGTACAATGCAAGTGGTGACGTATTATCATGTGGCATTGAAAAGACTTTTCCGCTTCACTTCACACTTTTCATATATTTCACAGGATAGTTCCTGTGGTCTGTTTTCATTTACTTTCCTTAAAAATTTTCAGATGATACCCAAAGTAAAAACCATAAATTATGGCTACAAGTATAATTTTACAGTGCTTGCAATGAGAGGGGCTGTCCGCTGATTTATACTCAACTTAGCTATCACTATAGACGTGAAATTATACTAGGTTACCACGTGTTATTGACACCGTATGCCATGGTCTAAAAATTGCGTTTACCTCCTATAGAAATACGGAGGAATATTCGATGGCATCGTTGAAGATTCTAAAATGTTTGTGACCAAGTCTCTAAAGCAATATTTTTTTAAGTGTAAAATTATACGTATTTGTAAATCCAAACCATAATTACGAGTACAGCGAAATACTGGTATGAAATTTTAAAGTTCAATGAACGCACTGATATATTGGAAGTAAAAGCGATGCACTAATTGACCCACAGTAACGTGCATCAATCAAAATAGATTGGACTAAAATGAAAATCACAATTTTTTCAGAAGATTACCTGCAGCTGCTAAAAAAAAAAGCTTCAAGTATCAGTTTCATTAATAAAATTCAATGAGTTTACATAAATATAATTCTATATGGAAATAATATAATAAATACGCTTACTATATTTATTTAGTTTAATATTTTGAATTAAGGCTTGAAAATATTTATAAATCAATGCACATAAGCACACGTTTTTTACAGTTATTATACTTATTTTAAAGCAGACACAAATACTTGTTCAACAGATTAGCAATTAGGCAAGGGTTACATGTTTAAGCCACATACATATACATATGTACATACATACATAGATGGCGCAATAAAAATGTCTGTACATATTTAAAGTATCTCGGCTTTGTTGTTTTTGATTTTCTTTATTATTTTATTTTTTAATATATTATACCATCCGTCTTGAATTATACGGGACAGTCCTCTTTTTTTACCCATTGTCCTGGTAATTTATTTATGTATTTTATACGGGACGCCAAATGTTCTGTATCTCTTTTAATGTCCTGTATTTGTCCCGTATTCGGTGTTTCGTCTAGAGTCCAACCGATTAATCGGCCGATACTGAGGCTAGTATCAGCCATAAGTGTCGGCATCGGCCGTTTTTGGCCGGTTCTTGAATGAGGTAATGTTATTTATAAAAGCATTTGTGCTTGAAATGAATTTATATTCCGATTGTCGATTCTTCGCCAATTAAATGCTGAATATAAATTCATTTCAAGAACAAATGGTTTTATAAAAATTTTTATAATAACAAAATAAAAACATAAATAACATTACCTCATTCAAGAATCGGCCAAAAACGGCAGATGCCAATTCTTTTGCCCGATACTAGCCTCGGCATCGGTCAAGTAATCGGTAGGACTCTAGTTTCGACGCTTTAACAGCTTTTAAGTTTTAAGTGATTTTGGTATATGATCGTAATTTTCTCCATAAACAGTTATTATTTTCTAATCTGAATGCCTGTGATTCGAATCGAGGAATATATACAGTGACCAAAATAGAAATTTAGACTCGTTATTTTAGTAAGTTTTGGATATTGTTCCTCAGTTTATTTAATGTTTTTTTATTTATTTTATGAAAGTAAAGCTATTTTCCTAACAAAAACCATATAACACCAACTTTCCGACTTTGTTCAAAAAACTATAAAAATTAATTCTGCAATGTTTCATTAAAATTACAAACTTTTTAATTAGCATCTTTAAAAAAAATTTGGTTTGCAGTTTTGTAACTCACTAAAACTGAGTATAATAAAAGGCGAGTGGAAAGTGCTGCTCATTTGCTTCTCTTTGAAAAAAATTTTCAAACATATTTACATTGTATGTAAAAATTGCGTAACACCGTAAACAAAAAAATTTCCAAAAATTAATGGCATGCCTTAGCGACTTAAAATTGACATTATTATACTAAAATTTAACGAACTTTTTAAACAAATTTTACGGGGTAAAAATCTCGAGAAATTTATCCTACAAATTTGTGATCTTACTATAAGGATACTGTTTCAGGGCTATTACATCTAGGATCATTGAAGAAGGCTTTAAGATCTGTAAGCTGCTGTGAAAAAAATTTGCAAAAATATTTTTTTACCCGTATTCGGCTCTCATAAATGTGGTCACCGTAATTATAGGCCATGCTTAAATGTAAACCACCTTGGATTTGATAGCGAGCTTAAGAATTTTCCAAAATGCGTGGCAAACTGTACGAATGATAGCCTCATCTGTTGAGTTCCTTTCCCTTGCCAAAGAGTTTTTCAGCACATCCAGTGTTCAGCGTTTCTTGCCACACGCTTTGATCTGTATGTAGAATGATCCAAATTCCCAAACCACTCAAATCCGGCGATGATGACGGCCCCTGTTCGGGTCTAATAAACGAAGGAACATTTTCTGCAAGCAAATTTTGAGTACGCTGCACAGCTGTTGGAGAGAGTAGAGTTACAATAGATTTTCACAACTGCTGTCCAGCCTCATGAAACCGTTTGCTGGTACGTTGAACTAATTTCCCGCTTAATTGATATTTTGCCAGGCCTTGACGTATTTGAATACTGGTTTTTACTTATAAGGGAAGGCCTCTAAAGCCAAGTTTATTTTAAACCTGTAAGATATTTTATTTTTTTTTAAATACCTATGCGTCCAGAAAATCTTTGTAAAATTTGAGCATTTCCAGATCGGCAATTTCTGCCAAATGGTAGTACTTTTTAAACGGACACTTCAATTGCGCCACTCGCCAAATACACATTTACATCTGTACATATTTGTAAAAATACGAGTATTTACATGTGTACATACATAGCTAAATACAATGCAAGAGAGGTGTGAAAATAATAATTTGAAAATGAAATTAAAATGCAAATATGTGAGAAAGTATTCATTGTGATTTTATACAAAGAAGATCGTTAACATTAAGAAATTTAGGCGAAATTATTGAGTTTAGCTGCCGTAAGCGACTTGACAAGTTATGTCATTGATTCTACAATATAAACATATATATGTACATACATATATGTACTTAGGTACATTTAGAAAAAAAAAAAAGCAAATTATTTTAAACTACATAACTCGTTCTCTCAGCTGGCTAATATATACATATATATAAGACCGTCTCAAGAATATGTGAAAATAAATTTATTTGCAAATTTTGATATGCATACCCTCTACTTTTGTGCTTCTTAGCCTAAATAACATATACAGATATGAAGTTTTATGGCTGTAGAATAACTATAACACCCGTGCCGACTTTTAGTTGAAGCTTTAGTTAATAACTTGAATTAATCGTCCATGCAAACTTTGGAAATGCGAAAAATTTTATTTGTTTCCCATACTTTAGCGCATTTCAGGTAAATCTGCATCAATAAATTTTTAATAGGACGGCAGGATTCCTCCCGAGGACATCGAAAAAATTAATTAAACTAAAATATCTTTTACAATTTGTATCCTTCCATATCCTTACAAAAATTAAACCAAGATTCTCCAAAATGCATTCAAAATCAAATAGATATGTATCTTGAAGGATAGTATTTTTAAAGGACATTTTAGACATGTCGGCCGCTGTGGTGTAGTGGTAAGCAGTGCGCGCTTCCACTCCACAATGCCTGGGTTCAAACCCTGGTCAAAGCAACATCGCAAAAATATAGAAAGGTTTTTTCTTAACAGCGGTCGTCCCTCGGCAGGCAATGGCAAACCTCCGAGTGTATTTCTGCCATGAAAAACAGCTTCTCATAAAAATACAATCGCCGTTCGGAGTCGGCGTAAAACTGTAGGTCCCTCCGCTTTGTGTGACAACATCAAGGCGCACGCCACAAATCGGAGGAGAAGCTTGGCCAAACACTAACATATGTGTAAGCGCCAATCTATTATTATTATTATTTTAGACATGTTCCAAAATCTTGTTTTGAATTTTTCTTTTAATTGATACCCATAAATATTTCCATATTTTGTGTATGCTTTTAGAAATATGAATAATATAATTTAATGGTCCTTTGGAAAAAATCCTGACTATTAAGCCCTAATACTGTAAGGCGTATAGTAATACCGCGTTATAAAGAAGTAAAATGAGTAGGTTAACAAAACACGCGAATTGCACAAAAATTATTTTGGTAACTTAGACTGCAAGTCTTCAGGGGTTGCCGTGGTCCGAATTGCATAAAATTTTATTTGGATAGTTTTTAAGACAAAACCAATAAATATATATACAAATGTATATCTTTCTGCATTCTGTGGAAATTGGTAACCAAATCAACTTCAACCTCTACCACCAAATACCCAAATCACTGAATAGCTCTTCCGACGTGGGTAAGTCGTAATTTTCATTCACCCATTCAGAATTCTCGCCCGTCTTATTCTGTTGACTGCCATACTCTTTTCTATAGCCAACTTTGCGCAAATCATCTTCATCACACTCTTCCTCATCGTCGTCTTCCACCGCCTCCAATGCGCTGCGTCTGACCAAACGTGATTTGGCAAAGTTGGATCGCTGTTCGCTGGGCATTACTTCAAGCAGTTCACTAAGTCCACTTATATCAACTTCTCTTTCTTTCTCAAGTTTTGGTTCATCCGCCTTGGCTGCAGTTAATTCTTCAGCTGTTAGCTCTGTTGTAGCCGCCACCCGTTGTATGCGTTCGAATATGGAGAGCATATGACGTCTAAATCGACTGTAGTCAAAATTTGCGTGCGTCACATTTGTTTCAATCGCATTTATGCCTTCATTGTTCTTCACGCGATTTAAGGGACCATAATGGTAGAGCATATCAATGCCCGGCGACATTGATTCCTCCCAACTCTGTGTAAGACAAAAAAAAAA